TGAGCCCAGGAGTTGGAGGTTGCTGTGAGCTGAGATGCCACGGCACTCTACCCAGGGGGACAGCTTGAGGCTCCTGTCTCAAAAAAAAAAAAAATGCCACCAAGTCTGCAGCACTGAAGCTGGGACAATTAATGGGCATGTTCAAAAGGCAAAAGTTCACATGAACCAGTTTTCTCCAGACCTGGCTCAGCTGCAGACTCAAATCCTCCTCAAACCAAGTAGTTTCCAAACATAAAGTAGCAGTATTTCTTATTCTCCTTTATCATGAAAAGTATCTCCACACTAAAGCAGGGATTGGTTCAGCTAGAAACAACAAACTCTACTTTCAACAATGTCTATGGGCTGAGTGTCATAGAATATAAAAAGACACAAACAAAATGAATCAAGACTTTGGGAAGGAGTATTCCATCTGGCCTGTCCAAATGACAACATGGAAAATGATGAAGATGAGCAGATATTGACATGCACAGTACAGCCACAGTCCTGCTGAAGGAAGTTCCAGGAGGAAGTGGGCATTCACACCCAGTTGGGCCTTGAGTCTCCTTTTGGCCCTTGAGACAAGAGACTAAGGATTTGAGGACATGGGTCATGACAGGCAGTGGGTTACAAACTGGGGTCTAAGGACCTGAGGGAGCAGTTGCAGCTTGGAAGCTTAAATGTAGGGCTGGGAAAGCAGTCAAGCCAGCCCCATGATGTGCATGGCACTCCCTACCTTCCCTAACAACCTGCCTGCTTATGAGCTCTCCTCCCCACCGGTCAGTCAGTCTACTTTATCAGGGTACTCTCCCGACTCCTCAGGCTCCCCCTAAATTCTGCAGCTTCTTGGGGATTCTTCCCCCTTAAACCTCTCACCCAGGTCCTATCTAGAGCACCCCATTCTGCAAGCCCAGGAGCTCAATAAGTACTACCGTGTTTTCCCGAAAATAAGACCTACCCCCAAAATAAGCCCTAGCAGGATTTCTATGCATTTGTTAAATATAAGCCCTATCCCAATAATAAGACCTAGTGATGGCATTTCAGCACGGAGAAGACATCCCCTGAAAATAAGCCCTAGTGTGTCTTCTTGAGAAAAAATAAATATAAGACAGTGTCTTATTTTGGGGGAAATACGGTAGTGAGATGCAGGGCAAGGACTCTTCTGCCAGGAAATACCTGGCAGATACCCTTTCATTAATCTCAACTCTCAGGTCAGGGCTTAGAGATCATTACACGTGAATCAACATCCTGTTTGTCTTCCACCATGTGATTACTGACTCCCACTTCTGACACCCCTTCCCCTCCACCCTCCTCTTCAGATTCCTCACTCAGAATTTAATTATCTAGGGGAACTCTCTTAGGACATACTTTCATCAGAACCATGGGCAAGAAAAAAAAAAAAGAAAGAAACTGGAGAACATGGAACATTTTATACATTTTCTCATTTCAAGTAAAACACTTTAGCAACATGACTAATGTGAATTAGCAGTATTCCTTCTGGCAAATAAGACTAAAACTAGTCTTATTTACTATCAAGTATTTTATAAGACAGACACTATATCCACTATATTATCTACACATTGTGAATTTTTGATTTACAATTTGGGAATCAAATATGGTTAAATGGATGATGGTGAAAAAGGCAGCTACAATAAAGATACAGTCTGACAGATTAGCTATCCTCCCCCCCCAAATTTCTACAATAAGGTATAATGAGTAGTCTTAAGTAGAAAGCAAAGTAGTCTTCAGAGAAAGCAAAATAAAGGGATGAATTGCCTTAACTGTGTTAAAGTTAATTGGCTCTGAACCAACTGTTCCAGTGCTGAAAAGAGAGCCTTTGCCTCAAAAGAACTCAACAGACAAGAGTAGTTTAAGATCTAATTTAATATACAACACAGGAATGCTTAAGTAGAAAGGCAAGCAAATGACCACTAAGACATGTTGTTCAAAAAGAAAAAATAAACAGTAAAATACACACCCACACTATAAAAAGAAAATCACAGCTAACTAAGGCATATTTCTATCCTGGAGATGACTGTCATTTTCTGGTAGGTCAATTCTGTAGAGAGCAGGGTTTGGTCAAATGAGCAATGGAAACAGAAGGGGCAGGGGTGTGAGACAGTGCACCACAGGCTTGCTGGCATCTCAAACTCTGATTTCTACCCATGATGTGTGGTTTTGCAGTAACTCAAGAGTTCTCATTTTCTGATCTTAAAGTTAAGCCACGTTGAGAATGGCCTGAGAATGGTCCGTCAGCCTTCTCAACCTAGAAGAAGGATCACAATCTTTCTGGGCAGCCTCAGGCAGAGCAATGTCAAGCTGGCAAAGCACAAAGATGAGTGCAAACACGTAGACTCAATCCAGCAAAGTTAGTATGCAGCTTGTGAACTGCCTAGAATATAGGAAACGACTTTTATTCAAACACTCTTTTTCTGAGTTTCAACCCTTACCTCTCCCTCTGCCACATAACTCTTGTAAAACAATAGTGAGAATCAAAATAGTCTCTATTACTATCTGCAGTAATACTGCAATTACAGTATGCATATTTAATTTGATGAAAGACGAGTTGCAAACTAACTTGGAAATTTCTATCCTTATTTGAGAAAGTGGGAAAACAAAGCTAATTAGAACGCAGATTGGAAGATTCCCTACCTGGTCTCTCTTCGACATCCTAAGCCACCCCTTAATAAGAGCAATATTCCCTTTGGAAAATCATACTATGGATGGCACCCTTTAGGAGGCTTTGAGTGAGTGCGTGTCGGGGATGCAAAGCATGGAGCGCCAACTCTCTAAATGCAAGTCACTGGGAGAAGAGGGCCTCCCGTGTCAACCCCTAAGCCAACGTTAATTCAAACGTCCGGAGTGTGAAAAGAAGATGTTCTGTTTCCAAAACCAGCAAGTACACTTGGAAGGAGAACAGAAGGTGTTCGCACACCCTGGGCGGAAGACTTTAGTTAGAAAAAGAAAGTAAATCCAAAGCAAAGTCCCGGGTCTAGAAAACCTCTTCTACCGAAAAGCAAGGAGGGGAAAAGAAACACTCCAAGGTAAAGAGACCGAGTATCCTCGAGGGTGGTGGGTGCCAAGGGGCCACCCTCTTTCCCCGGCCCAGGACAGAGTCGAAAGAAAACGGGGTCGAGCTGGCGAATAGGGAGCGCGGGGTTCGGAGCCCTAAGATAGTGACCCGCGCCCGCAGAGGTCTCCACTGCACCGAGCAGAGGGTGTGCGGCGGGGCGCAGGCCAGGGCGGCCCGGACCCTCCCGGCTGGCCCGCGCGGCCCTCACCTTGTCCGAGTCCAGGTCGGGGTCGGCCTGGCACAAACGGTACAGGAAGGATTTCGGGTCCCGGCACAACGTCTGCCGAGTGGTGAGGAAGTAGGTGCCGCCGACGTTGAGCCGGACCCACTTGGACACGCTGCCGGGACGCTGGGCCAGGGCGCCGAGCCCTGCGCTGCAGCGGCGGCACAGGCCGCCCCCCAGCCCCGCCCCAAGGCCGCCCGAAGCCGGCGGCAGCAGGTCGCAGTGATTCTCCGCCATGATCCCTGCAAGCCCCGCCACAGCTCCCCTCTACCGGAAGCGTCCGGCCTTTAATACCGTCCCCCCTCCTCCCCCCGCCAGCTCTGTCCCGCCCACAGGTCCGCCCTCGTAAGACGCCCGCCCGGCGTCACGCGGGAGGCGGAAATTCCGGTCCGGAAAAGCGGCCGTCAGTTCCCCCTCTTCCGGCCGGAACGGGCGCTTGTAGCCCCGCGCCGACGTGGGCGGCCAGCAGCAGAGCCTAATCTCGGGTTCGGCCGGGCTCGCCGACCTCAGCCCATGTGAGCGGCGCGCGGACGCCGATCCCGCCCCGGAAACCCCAGATTGCGGTCAAAGGAAGAGTCAAGCCAGCGAGCGTCTACACTCTACATGCTTTTATTACAAGACTACCGAGCATACGAGAAAAATTCATCATCCGGTAACTACACCTAAAGCACAAATATTTGGAAAAAAGAATAAACATATTCATTAAATTATATGATTAAATCATTGACCAAATAGAAAATTTATATAATAAAGCCAGAAAAAAATTGTAAAATATAGTTTACAATAATTATTCACATTCAAGGCTGTACATCAATACATACAACAAACAACGTGGCCCCGAACATGAATTCAATCCAAATAATTCATATATTAGAATTTAAATAACACAGACTGAACTAGAGGCCAACAATAGCCAGCAAATAACCTTATATAAGAATAAAAATACAAAAGTGTATGTCCTAACATCATTGCATTATTTCCGTAAGTTTTCTCGTAATTTTTGCTTTGCCTGTACATCACAGTTACAGCCACAGGCCAGGTAGAGAATATTATACATGTCCTGACTGCCACCAACCTGAAAGACGGCTAAACAGATTATTGATTCATCCTATTTCATGTTGTTAAGGAGCAACTACAGCAGTTCAAATGCTGTAGTACTTAATTTTGCCAACGTCCAAACTTAGTCAATACTTTCACCAGCAAAATGACCCCTCTGTTAGTCACTCAGCCAGACGATTAGACTAGGGTGGGTTACACAGCTTAAAAAAAAAAAACTTTGCCTTTTGTAAAAAGTTTTCTGTACATAGTTTGGTGTTTCTTCATATTGAAGAAATGAGTGATGGAGAAAATTCAGGTGTCCACGGAGGCTCATTCAGTTGCCCACCATGGCCATCTCAGCGACAGATAAAACTGCTCTTTGCTGGAAAAAACTTCCCAGACAGGCTCTCCACAGGATGCCTGATTTACAATTCTGCAACCTTGGGCCCGAAGTGGGTGCCCCTCAGAGGCTCTGGAAACTATTTCAGCCCTGATTCAAGGGCACCTGTCATGCCTATTACCTAAAAAGAAAGGGCCACACCCAAATGAGTCACCCTCAGTTCACGTTAGCTTTGAACACAGAGAAAATGGAAAAAAGCCGATGGTGACATCTCCAAGAACATATAGTACCTTCACCATATTCTCACTGCAGCTTCAAGCTCTGTAAGTCTCAGTGGTGAACGATCCAAGTCTGTGGGCCAGCCAAAGGAGCAGCCTTGGGGTGTCCTAGAGGAGGTCAGAAAACCTAATTCTGCACAATTCAGCCATAATCTCAGAGTTAAGTAGCACTGAGCATGGCACCTAGAAAAATCCCTCAGAATCAACCTGAGGACATTAAGAATGCAACCAAATTTGGGTGGTCTGGACTTGAAGACAACTAGGCAACCTGTAACACTATGGGCAGAGGGTGAAAGAGATGGCCTTAAATCCATACCAACCAAGACAACCACATCTACAATGAAAAAGCATGGCCATTGTGCTCTTCTGAACATCTTAAGACCTTCTTACGGAGGTGGGAGATGGGACAAAAAATACACTTTCGTAAAATCTAATCATCTATGTAATTTCTTTCCTAGGTAGAGTTTTTGCTCTGTTACTGATTTCAAATGGCCCAATACACTTTGAGTCTATAAACTTAATTACCAATCGCCCATTAAGCATGTGGCAAGGTCAGTTCAAAATTTTTTATCTCTGCTGACTGTGCAGATGCAAGTTCAGTACCACTGTGGACACAAAGTACAAGATTCTGAAAATATCATCAAGCACTTAAAAGCCATAGCAGTAGGGATGGAGGAAAACTAACATGCAGGCATAGCCAGGTGCTTGCAGCAAAAATAAGGAAACTGGCTCTTGGAAAAACCTGTCACAAATGGATTGCAATAATAACATCATTTCAGTATTTTTAAAAAGAGTGGTCTTATTCAAACATTCTTTGGAACACACAGCTTATCAGAAACTGGTTTGTTCAGAATCCATAGGATGCAGCTAAGGAGATTCTGTTAATGGAATTCTGAGCATCTAAGCATCAGGTAAAGAAAGGGAAAGAGTATTATTTTTTAAATGAACTCTCTGACCCTAAAATACCACATCCAGGTATCTAAGGGGAGGAGAAGAGTCAAAACTCAAAGATTTATAAGGATATTTATCACAGCATCATTTAAATAGTGAAAAAAAGAAGCCATGTAAATGTTTACAACAGAGAGATGGTCAGATAAATTATGATAAAATTTACAAGCATTAAACTCTACAATTGTTAAAAACATGTTTTTCAATTGCTCAAGACATGGGGAAATGCTTTAAAAAATCAAGTGAAAACAGCTGGATGCAGTTTATGTTGTATGTTCCCAGTTACAAAAGCCAACAAAAGGTAGGGGGGACAGGATATGGGAGACCTCCAGGTGTGAGCCTACAAGTGGAGTTTTTCAGAAAAGAAATGTTTGAAAAATGTACAGAATCACCCACAACCCCTGTGCAGGTACCCTGGGTATCAAAGCCATAGGGCTGTCTCAGCAATTCCTTTGAGGATGAGCCACAGGATGTCCCAAGAGGGCTGGAGTCTGTCAGGTTCCTGCCAGCTATGGCATGTCACAAGCCATCCTCCTCAAAGCAAATTTTTAATAGGCTTCCAGCAAGTAAAGCTCCCATTTGGTAGCCATGCTGTGGTGCCCTCACTGGGATGGAAAGGTTCCTGTCCTAGAACTCACTGTCCTGGCTGGTTCCACAGGAGAAGAGAAAATCCCTTGATACATGGCTTCCTCTGTGGCACCAGAGAAAAGCAAGGCACAGTAGACTGGACAGCAACCACAGTCTCCTGACTGCATCCTCCCCTTGGAACATAGGAGGCCACATAGGTTGTAGCCTCAGTATTTACACTTGCCCTTGCCCACTCTTAGTAACTGATACATGGTTCTCTGGGTTAAACAACTGGGCACTATTTTTCTCACATTGGATAAATTAACAATTGTATTTCTACGTGTGTATGTCTATGTATGTGGACTGTCACACATGTCCTATCTTAGCATGTATGATACTGCATGCCAGCTGATGGGCCCTGAGGATGGGATGGTTAAAACTTCAGGTGATGTCAGTACGGAAAAGAATATGCATGGGCCTTTAAAAATAAAAAAATATTTTTAAAAAGCAAGGAAAAGAGTGAGAAAAAAGGTGATCCACGGAAAGGGCTCGGGGCATCAGCTCAGGCAGGGGCAGTCATTTCAGCTGTCGGCTGCGAGCTCCAGCTCTGAACCCCTAATTCTGTGGTTTGGGAGGTTAAGATGAAGCATGTGGGTGAAGCCCAGGAGGTAGTGGTGCTATCCAAAGAGAAGAATGCAACAGAAGATTCTCCACCAGCAGCCTGGCCAGGTGCTCTTATTAAAGCCAAGTCCCAGCTCTGCTTGTTTCCCTGTGACTAGACACCCAGATGTCCTAGGAGCACCTGTGTATGCAGCTAAGTAAGTCAGAAGCCTTTCTCACACACACAGACGCAGGATGTTCTGAGAAGGGTAAAACAGCTAGTAAAGGAGAGTAAGCCTGAACAGACACTCCTAAAGGAAATGGGTCATGTGAGACTCATCTTACACAGGGAAGCTTTTTCAAAAGCTAAGAAGAAGGGGGACTCAGTCTCTGGCCACAGGCCCAGGGCCATGTGCTTGACCCCTCAGAATGTCCTGTTTCCTGCATTGCACACTACTCATGGTCACTGACACCCCTCTCTGCCCCAGCACGACAGAACAGTCCACCTCAGCACTTCCCTGGTTTAAGAGCTGCCACTCTTTTATCATTACTCTCAACTTGGACCTGGCCTGGCACACAGGGTGACTGATGGTCATAAGAGATTGAGGAAGTGGGGACAGAAAGGGTTATGGGAATCATTTCTGTGTGGGCATTTTGCTGGTGCCTTTGTGAAAAGTCTATAGAAATGGCAAAGTTGTTCATCCGCTGGATGTGTTCGAGTCAGAGGCATGTCTGTGAGCAGAATGCCAAGTCAGCAATGCCTGCCTCCTCCCCACAGGACTGTCAGCTGCCCTCCAGGGACAGCCTGGGCAGGGAGAGGATGGCCAAGCCCTGCCAGGCATCAATAGCTCTCTCCACCTGGGGAGTAGCAAGGCATAGCACTAATGTATCAGACTGTACTACACAGCAGTACACAGCCACTAAAAGCAACAAAGGGAAGCAAAGGAAACCAGACTAGGCAAGCCCAGGTTAAGTATGCTATACTCGCCTTCCACACAGTGCAAACAGGCAAAGTCCACTCTTTATGGGACTACATGACTTAGTAACATAAGGAGGCTTTTAGATTTTCAATGTAGAGATGTAAAAACTCTGAGTTAGCTCTGAGAAATGTTTAACCACAATACAAAAAGGGTGCATGTGACACTGGGCACCTGCACTCCCTGGTGCTGTCTGCAGGAACTGAAGCACTCTGGGTCTATAAATCCCAGGACTCTCTCTCAGACCCGACTTCACCAATTGGGGAGGCTGCATGTTAAACCTTTCAAGAGGGTCTCCAAAGGGCCTGGGCCTCATTCCTCCCCATCAAGGCCAGCAGGCCCAATGTGCTCTGGCTGGATTCTCTGAGGCACCTCCTGGCCTCACCTGGGGATCAAGGCAGGACTCTCTCTTGTGCAATGACCCAGCAGGTGCTAATCAGCCTCACTTCTGCTGGTGCCCCTCCCAGACATGCACTTGGCTTCCAGCCCCAGAGACCAACAAACTCAGTAGGACCAGGAAGTCAAGCCGTTGGGTAGTGCCCCTCTTCAGCAGCCTATTCTTGTGTCACTCCATACCCTCCTGCTCCTCACCTCAAGCAGTCTGCTTGCAGGCAGCAGAAACCAAAAAAATCCTGCCACCAAAGCTACGCCAAGAGGCACAAAAGGGGCCCAGCCACAGCTAAGGGTCATCAATGAGGGACGCAAGAAAGGGGGCACATGCACAGAAGCAAAGAACCCTCCACCACAGGGCTGGTATCCACCCTAGCGAGACTGCAGGCACTCCCTCCCTGGTATAAAGTTCTGTGATCATGTGTCAGGTGGAAGGGAAGAGCCAAGACACACTCAGTCCCCTCGGCCAGAAGGCATAGCACATGGCTCTGCCTGATGCTAGGAAAAGCTGGTAACACCATGTCTGTCCACTAGTCTAGGTGGGAACTGGGCTGACGTGCACAGAGCTGGGTCCCCACAGCAACAAGCACACGTGGAAGCCTCCACGGAGCACAGAGAACAAGCAAAGCGACCCTGAATTCCTGTCTGTTTGTTATTGGTTTTGTTCTTTGTGTGGTTGGGTATTTTTTTTTCTTCTTTTCTTTTAAATAAAAAAGCTGCAAGGTTTCCGCCTTCTGCATTCCCCTTGAGATGGCTGGCAGGTGGTCTGGAAGCATCCCAGATGGCGGCCAAGCCGCACTGGGGCAGGTGTCCTGGCAGCAAACGGCAGCCTGGCCACAGGCCACATCACTGCACGGCAGCATCCGGGTGGCTCTGGTATCGCTGCCTCCAAACCTCCTGGATCTTTCTGCACCATTTGTGAGCATTCCCACTTGGATCCATCAGGTAATACGTCCTGTTAGGCTGCAAAGACAGAAGCCATCCACTGTTCTCAAGGGAGTCCCATCACAATCCCAACCTGTGAGGGGTTTACCCTCCTGCTCCTAGCACTGCAGGCATCTTCTGAAAGTATGTGAGAAGGTGAATGACCCACCCTCCTTAGGTCACCCCCAAACAGAAAAACAGGCATAGGGTGTCCCTAGCCCCACCTGGGATATGTGAAAGAGGGAGACAGCTGCCGCAGGGTGTTCCCTCCAGCCAAAGCACTTGGATGCTTCCCGTAAGAGGCACAAAAAGCCTCTGACCACCCTGAAACAGTAATCCTTGGGAATAGGCTCACCGTGTGAACAAAGAAAGTTTTAAAATTCTTGGCCTCTGGTCGGAGTTCTTGTGACCATGGAATTTCACCTTTCAGGACTTTGTTGACAGGATCCACATAATATAAATGTGGCCCTTCTGTGAGCAATAATTGTCGTCGTCGTGCAAATAAACCCTGATATGAAAGAAAAAAAGAAGGTGAATCTTTCTAAGAGTAGAATGTGAATGTTTTAAAGCAATAACTGAGAAAATGACATGAAGGCTGTGTTGACCAGTTGATGGAAGTATTTCAGATTGCATGTGAAAACCCCACACTGTACCCTAGAAGTGCATTAATGTACATAGTTACTGTTCAATAAAAAAAAAAAAAGAAAAAAAAAAAGAAAATAAAGAAAGAAAACCTGTTTAATTAAAGCCCCAAAGTGGGAGCTGACAGCACTTACCACTGCCTCAGCAGCTAAATTGTTTCCCAGAGTCACTCAGTGCATAGGGACCACAACAGCCGCTTGTCTAATAGCCTGGATTGCCTCCTACCCCTTGGGCTCAGACATAGCAGCACAAGTGCCCACTGCTCAACTAATGCAGACTGCGATGATGCTGGGCTTACTGCTTCCCTCACCCCTCTGCTGCTGAGTCATAGCACCTGCCCTCAGCAGCTACGCCTCAGCCCTTCAGAGTCTTGCTCTAGGAGGACACCCAGTCAGAAGAGGAGGTCAGGAGCCCATATTTAGAAGGGGCCCCAGACCACCATATGGACTCTGATATGTTCTGACACAATCCATTTAATCCATAAAACACAGTAAGTAACAACACTTAAGTGTTTTAAAAACACCTCTAATGAGGGCGGTACCCATAGCTCAGTGGGTAGGGCACTAGCCACATACACCAAGGCTGGCGGGTTCGAACCTGGCCTGGGCCAGCTAAAGCAACAATGACAACTGCAACAACAACAACAAAAACAGCCGGATGTTGTGGCGGGTGCCTATAGTCCCAGCTACTTGGGAGGCTGAGGCAAGAGAATTGCTTAAGCCCAGGAGTTTAAGGTTGCTGTGAGCTGTGACACCATGGCACTCTACCCAGGGCAACAGCTTGAGACTCTGTCTCAAAAAAAAAAAAAAATCTTCTAGTGAAGTATTAAACTACTTGCTAGGATATCAAACAATCTCCCCAACTTGACAGAAAGCCTGAAACTGTGGGCCCTGTGTAGAAATCAGAGCCTGGCTCCCAAGTTAGGCATGCAGGCTGTGTTGCTATTTTGATATTTACTGCCTACATGGGTGATTCCTAACTGATCCCCTGAGGGGCTTAAATCTTCCTTAGCTATTAAATCTAGAGATGATCTCTAAAAAGTGAACCAAGATGAAGGAAGCTATGTCCAACAAGTCATGGCAAAAGTCAGAGGAAGGAGATCTGACCTGGAGTTAAAACCAGGAGGAAGACACAAATTCACACAAAAAGCAGCAGAAATTCAACTCACCTTTCGCTTATCCACTGGACCCATTTTTAGTATTAAATTATTTTCTACAAACTGATGCCTATTAAAAAAAAAAAAAAGAATGAGACACAAGAGAGTTACAGACAGAAATTCTCCATACTTCTCCTTTCAAAGAAACTATCTGACGGCCTTCACAGACTGTACCTGCACCTCACAGATCCAGTCTCACTTCGGTAACAGGAGAAAGCTCCAAATGCACCCACTGCCACAGAGTTTTTAGTTTGAATTTGGACTAGAATCTGCAGAGACCAGAAATATGGCCCATGTTACCTCTGGGCCAGGGACATGTGGAGGGGACGGTATATAAAACCACACAGGTGGCAGACACATATGCCACAGCTACCCTGACAAAGCAGTGGTGAGAGACACAGCTGGATGCTACTGGGAGTCCTCAGGGCGAGATGGTTACCCTTAAGTTACCCCCAAGTCAGTCCTGGAACTCAGTGCTCAGGACCCACTGAGTTTAGAATCCCCAAACTCTAAAAGACCCAAGTTGGACTTGACTTAAGAACATCTCTGGGATTTCTACCATCATAATAAAATGTTTTAATTCAAATATGGTAAGAATTTAAAAAAGAAAGCTTCAAATACAGGCTTTGATTTAATATACATTATTAACAAGCATATTTCATTTTTGATTCTCAGAAGTTTAAGAAATTGCTTTAATATCTGCAGTTGACCTCATTGGTTAAAACTAACAGTTACTGGTTTATGTTCCATCTGATTTTACTGAAATTCCTGATCAGAGGTTCTACTATAGAGATACATTTCGCTGGGTGCAGTGGCTCATGCCTTAATCCTAGCACTTTAGGAAGCTGAGGCAGGATTGCTTGGACCCAGAAGTTTAAGACCAGCCTGGGTATCAAGACTCCATCTCTACAATTTTTTTTTTTTAAATGAGTCAGGGCAAATCACAGTGGCTCACACCTATAATCCTAGCACTCTGGGAGACCAAGGTAGGTGGATTACTTGAGCTCAGGAGTTTGAGACCAGCCTGAGCAAGAGCAAGATCTTGGTCTCTACTAAAAACAGAAAAATTAGCCAGGAGCTGTGGCAGGTGCTTGTAGTCCCTAGCAGTTACAGCAGAGGGCAGTCCTCCCAGTCCCAGGAGGACTGCCTGAACCCAGGGAGTTTGAGGTTGCTGCGAGCTGGGCTGACACAATGACATGACAGCCTGGGCACGAGAATGAGACTCTGTCTCCAAAAAAAAAATTAGTCAGATGTGGTGGGCACCTGTATGCCAGCTATTCCGGAAGCTGAAGTGAGAGGATCACTTGAACCCAGGAGTTTGAAGCTACAGTGAGCTACGACTATGGTACTCCACTGCAGCCTGGGTGACAGCATGAGACCCTGTCTTTAAAAAAAAGGACTTAGGGCCTTGCTACTTAAAGCATGCTCCACAGACTTGCACTGTATGAATGCTGTACTTTCCCAAAAAAAAAAAAAAAAAAAAAAAAGGAGGTGGAGGAGGAAGGGAAGGAGGGAAAGAGGGAAAAGGTATAAGATAACTAAGTAAATATCTGAGTACCTCCACACTTGCCTGGCTCCCCACAAGGCCAAGAGCACTGGTAGAAAGACTGGCATGGCTATGACCCACCCTGATCAGATCATTGCCCAGGACTTGTCCCAAGAGACACAAGGCCTTGCCCCAAGTATATAAATTGATGCAGCATTGTGTGAGTTTTGAAAACTACTAAGATTTTTAATGAGAAAGACTGATGTGACTTATGAAATACCTTCTCTTTCAGGTATTTTATAACCACACAAACTCAGGGCTTGAAACAAAGAAAAAAAGAATCAAGTAAATTTTTGAAAAAAATGTAACGAGCAGGAGCTACTACAGCACAGAAAGTATAAAGCATAAAAATACACAGATAAATCCCCAGAGCCCAAAGCCTATTCTGACAGGTCCTATCATGTAAGAATTTAACATCAAGAATCACAAGGGAATAAATAAGGGAAGACACAGCTCACACTGAGGGGACCGTCAGTGTACAAGGTGGAGAGGATCTCTTTGAGCCCAGACTGGTGAGGGCGCTCAATGCCCAACTCCGGAAGCCCGGCACAGGGCTATAGGCATGAATTCTAGATCTCATGAGGGAAGACTGATGTGTAGGCAAAGGGGCTGTGGCCTCACAGTGTCTTTCCAGACTGAAATTTCACAATGTACCAAAAGTAAATGCCAGATGGGATGACAAGAGAGACAGTTCAAGAAGGACTAGAACGGGATATTCTTCAAGCCTATGTGGGAGGGCTTGACTTCCAAGCTAAAAGCAAAAGAGGTCCTTGAAACTGAACAACAGACATGACTACATAAGAACAGAGGCAACATCTACTTTCCAAAATAATCCTGATGACAGGCAAACAGGCTGGAAGAGACTTCCAGCAGATACAACCTGCAAAGGATCAACATTGTACTCCACAGAGCAAATAAAAAGTGCCATGAAAAGCCTGCCTAATCTCTTGACAGAATCTGAACAAAGAACACAAACTGGAAATTCCAAAAAGAGGAATTAGGTGACACAAAAATATCCTCACCAGCTCCAAATATAGGAATGGAACTGAGGCCCCACTTTCCACTGCTCCACCAGAGTGCCGGGTGCTATGGCGTGAAGCAGAAGTGCTGCTTTCATGTGGCACTGATGGCCTTGAACAGGGACTTGCTGAAAAAGCAATGGAAATACTACCATACTGAGAAGTAACCTCACTTCCAGAAATCTATCCTGGGGGGTAGCGGAGACAAGGAGCATGGAAACAGTCACCGCAGTATTATTTCTCACACTAGTGAAGTGACAGCACATCCCAGCACTGCAGGGAAGCAGACAAGGACCCCCCCACCAGACGCAGCCCCCACCTCTCCCAGCTTCACCCATGGGAGAAAAGACCCGTTCCACTGTGGCCCTAGAGTTAGAACTCAGGGATGGGCAGAGGTTGATAAAGCTCCATTATCAGCAAAAACACCAGAGTCAATTCATTTAGTCAATTAACCAATTAACTTACAACAGGCTATTTTTCTACTTTGAAAAGTTTAAGCACTTAAAGGCATCTTTTTATATTTTACTTCAAAATGTCAATCCCTGGCCAGGCACAGTGGCTCACATCAGCATTCTAGGAGGCTGAGGCACATGGATTGCTTGACCTCAGAAGTTCAAGATCAGCCTGAGCAACAGTGAGAGCCTCCATCTTCACTAAAAATAGAAAAATTAGGAGGGCATAAAGGTACATGCCTGTAGTCCCAGCTACTCAGGAGGCTGAGGCAAGAAGACTGCTTGAACCCAGGAGTTTTGAGGTTGCTGTGAGCTAGGACACCATGACACTCTAGCTTGGGGCAACAGAGTGAGCCTGTCTCAAAAAAAACAGAAAAAAAAAGTCAATCCCCACTTTCCTAAAGAGGATCCCTGCCCTAAGTGCCCTTTTCTCCCTGGCAGGTTGCATGAGTCCTCTGAAGATTCAGAGCTATACCACACACCTAACTTCTCAGTATACAGACAGGACCTTCCAGCAGGCAACTTCACTTTCATTTTTCTTTTTTTTTTTGGTAGAGACAGAATCTCACTTTATCGCCCTTGGTAGAGTGCTGTGTTGTCACACAGCTTATAGCAATCTCTAACTCCTGGGCTTAGGCAATTCTCTGGCTTCAGCCTCCTGAGTAGCTGGGACTACAGGAGCCCACCACAACACCTGGCTATTTTTTTTTTTTTTTTTTGCAGTTTTTGGCCAAAATAATGGGTTGGATTTGAACCTGCCACCTTCAGCCCATGGGACAGAGCCCTACTCCTTTGAGCCATAGGCACCACCCTTTTTTCCTTTTTTGAACACCTGGCTATTTTTTTGTTGCAGTTTGGCTGGGGCTGCATTTGAACCCGCCACCCTCAGTATATGGGGCTGGCACCCTACCCACTGAGCCACAGGTGCTGCCTGCAGCCTCACTTTCAAATCCAGCATTTAGGCAGGACTTAGGCTAGAGTTCGTCAGACAGGAACCTCTCTCCCTACTTCTGAACAGATGAGGATGCAGGGGCTGAGGGGCCCATCCCTTCACAAGGAGTAACTATGTAAAGCCTCCTCTTCCTGATTCCAAAATCAGAGCTCTTGGGTGGTGCCTGTCGCTCAAAAGAGTAGGGCGCCGGCCCCAAATACCGGAGGTGGTGGGTTCAAACCCAGCCCCAGCCAAAAAATACTGCAAAATCAGAGCTCTTGCCTTACCCCATAATGCCCCCCACTCAGGTCCCGGAAAGACTATTTTCTTTTCTTTCTTTTTTTTTGAGACGGAGCCTCAAGCTATCCTCCTGGGTAGAGTGCCATGGCATCACGCTCACAGCAACCTCCAACTCCTGGGCTCAAGCGAGTCTCCTGCCTCAGCCTCCCAAGTAGCTGGGACCACAGGCGCCCGCCACAGCGCCTGGCCATTTTTTGGTTGCAGCCATCATTGTTGCTTGGCGGGCCCAGGCTGGGGACTCGAACCCGCCACCTTAGGTGTATGTGGCTGGCGCCCTAGCCGCTTGAGCCACAGGCGCCGAGCCCGGAAAGACTATTTTCAAAGACTCATGCCCAAGGCCACAAGCAAAGCACACAGCTACTCCTAGGAGAACTACAGTGAGGCTGCTAGAGCTCAATTGTGGCTATTCTGACACCTCAGGAAGGTTCTATAGACCTGGCTTCTCTATAGGCAAAGAGGACCTAGTAGGGGTGGCTGAAGAGTCACTGGTTTGCTCTCAAGCACCAGCTCTCCAACCTTTAGCTTGCAGCAGCCCTTTATACTCTTATTAAACTTTATGGAAGACCTCAAAGTGCTTTCCTTTCCCTGGGTTGTATCAATCAATATGTACTGTATAAGAAACTAAAACTGAAACATTTTCAAATACTTATTTAATTCACGAGAAAACAAACCCATTACTTACTAATATAAATTATAAAATTATTTTCTAAAACAAAAAATAACAAATGAGAAGAGTGGTACTGCTGTATGTATATCTTGCAAATCTCTCAACTGTTTGGCTAATGAGAAGAGAGCTGGGTTATCACATTGTCTGTGATTCAC